AAACCCTGGAATGGGAAAATTTGGGATTTGGTGGGGTTGACAGAACAAATTGAGGCATTTCTAAGGAAAAACCAAATTCTGGGATGGGAAATTTCAGGGTGACCAGAGCACTAGGGAGATTCAGGGCAAAAACCAAATCCAGGCATGGGAGATTTTGGGGGTTTTTGAGGTTGATAGAGCGAATCCCGGGGTTTTCCAAGGGAAAATCCCATCTCACGTCAAGTCGGCGTCTCGGGAGGACACGAAGATCCACTCCTCGTCCGGCCGCCCCTCTCCATCGGCCACCACCTTCTCGATGGCTCTGCCCACCAGGCCGGTGCCACCTGTCACCAGGATGCGCTTGGTCACCTCGGTCATGGCCAAAAACCCTGCAGGGAGGAGCCGGGGTCACCTCAGCATGGACCACCTTGGGGTGAGCATCACCCAGGCAGGTGGGATCGGGGCTTTTTGGGGAGATTTCTGCGTTTCTGGGTTAAAAAAGGGGCGTGTTTGGCTGTGATAGGGCTGGAACTCCTCAGCTGGAGGCCACCTGGGCCAGGCTTGCCAACGTGGCGCTGGCCCAGCCTCTGGAAAGGGAAGGGCACCTGCACCCCCGGGTGTGTGCCCCAAATCTCCTCCTGCACCCCCAAAATCGCCTCCCGCACCCCAGATCTCCCCCTGCACCCCAGGGCTGCATCCCAGATCCATTCCTGAGCCACAAATCTTATCTCTGCACCCCAAATCTCCCCCCCACCCCGCACCCCAGATTCTCCTTCTGCGCCCCAAATCTCCCTCTGCACCGCAGGTCTCCCCCTGAACCCCAAATTTCCCCCCGCACCCCAAATCCTGTGTTCGCAACCTAAACCCTTCCCTGCACCCCAAATCCCAGGGTGCAACCCAACCCCGCCCCGCCCCCCAAAACCCAACAACCCAAACCCAAAACCCAACCCCGAACCCAAGCCCAAACCCCCCCCACCTCCCCTGCACCCCAAATCCCACCCCTGCACCCCCATCTCCCCGCACACCCTCCCGGTCCCGCAGCGCCTTACAAACCACAACCTCCCGTCCCCCTGCCCTCCCCACCGTCCTGTCCCCCCACTTTGGGGACCCCCCCGCTTCTCCTCCCCACCGATCTGGGGGGCTCCTGTCCCCCTCAAATGTCCCCTCACGGGGTGAGGGGCGCGTCTCACCCTCGGCTGGATTCGGCTGCGCTCGGCTCGGCTGGGCTCGGTTGTGTTCGGCTGCTCTCGGCTCGGCTCGGGATAGGCTCGGCTGCGTTCGGCCGGGCTCGGGTCTGCTCGGCGGCGCTTCGTGGAAGGCTCGGAGAGGTTCGGCTGCGCTCGGCTCGGTGGGGGCTCGGCTGGATTCGGGTCAGCTCGGCTGAGTTCGTCTCGGCCCGGTGAGGGTTCGGCTGCGCTCGGTTTCTTCCGCCGCCGTCACCGGGCGCTGCCGCTTGGCTCGTCGGGAAATGTAGTCCGTGCCCGGGAGCAAGGGAAAGGAGAGGGCGCAGAGGAGAAGATTTTGGGAAGAGGGATGGGGGAAATGGGGTGCAAGGAGGGAAGAGGTGCAAGGGAAGAGAAGAGGGTGGGGAAATGAGGTGCAGGGGGAGGGAAGGACGTGCAGGGCAAAGAAAGGGGGGAAAGAAATGGGGGGGCAGGGACAGGGAAGGGTGGATGGGAAGGGGATGCAGAGGTTTTAAGGGAGTTCATGGGAAGGGGTGCAGAAACAAGGAAAAGGGTCCAGGAAAGGAAGGGGATGCAGGGAAAAGGGGTTCCTAGGTGTCCCCCCTGCCAAAGTGGCTCATCAAAAGGGATTTCCATGTGAAAACGTTTTAATCGCTTTTAATGCACTTAAGCCGAGATTAAAAATGAGCAGAGCTTTCCTGCGTGTGGGGGATGGTTTTGAAGGCACCCCCTCCACCCCCACATCCAGCTGGCTTTTCCTTCGGGATTTTTGCGAGGCAAAGGCAGGGCTTTGCTCTAAATTAAACTTTTGAAAGTGGAATTTAGAGAGACCCAGCCAGGAATTCCCACATTCCTCCCACCAAAGCCCTGGATAGCCCCGGTGTCGAGGAGCAATAGAATGAGAGATTTTAATTACTTTCCTCCTGGCTGAGACCTGGAAATGTGCCCTTTTCCTTTGGGAAAGTCTCAGGGAAGGCTGAATCCTTGAGGATCTCCTTGCTGGGAGCTGGTGGTGGCAGAGGGGTCATTTGCATATTAAAAGATGTCACCTTGTGCCTCTGTCCCCTGGAATTGCCCATCCCCTCTCCCAGCTGGCTGAGTCCCAGAATGTGCCCAGGCCTTTCCCAGCTCCAAAATCCCACTCCCAGGGGTCTTGGTGTTGTTCCCACTGGATGTTTGACAGGATTCCCTGGCTGATCTCACCCACGGAGCCGGCGATGGACACTGGAGCTCCTTTTCCACGCCAGCTAATTCCACGTCCATCCTGCATCCTCCACGAGACACTGAGGTTTGGCAAGAAGAAAACCTCACGCTGGTGTTGGGATGAGTCAGATCCAGCTGCGTCCACGCTTCCACCTCGCTTCACGGCGAAATTACGGAGTAAAAGGGTTTGGGTTGGAATACAATCATTCCCATAAATAAAAATCATCCCGTTCCAACCCTCTTGCCATGGGCAGGGACGCCTTCCACTAGACCAGGTTGCTCCAACGTGGCCTTGAATATTCCCAGGGATGGGGAGGGGGGAAAGCCAAGGAAGATTTTCCACGTGCTGGTGGGAGAATAAGATCTTCCTGCTGCCTCCTGCAAGTTTTGGGAGACTAATTAGGGATAAACCCGTGCTTCGGCCAAGGAATTGCTGGGAGGTGGCGCAGCCGAGAGCTGCTGTGACAGCACTCGGGTAACCACGGTGTTGCATTAAATGTAGTAATTTCGGAGCTTAAATATGCTAATTCTGGGTCTAATTACTAAAGAAATGTTGGAACACGAGGGAAGATCACAGGGGAAAGGGATAAAGTTGGCGGCGACCACATGGGACGGACTCGTTTGTTAATGAAATATCACCCAGGCTTCTGATGTTATCTAACAAGGCTCCGGGATTTGAGGATCAAAGCCTGGAGCAGACCCATTAGCTCATCTGGGCAGGGCGTCTGCGTGACATGATCCAGAGGACATCCCAGGACCTTCCAGCCGGCAGGATAAAGCTTGGGTGGCTTGGCCAGGTCCCGGCGGAGAACCGCTGCTTCGTGTCGGGCGTCGCTTCCGTAACGAAGCTTCCTTGTGGGGTGACCTATTTCTCTGGAACGGGCCCAGTTTTGGGTCCAGCCCCACTCCCTGCTCTGCCTTTCCCCATGCCTCGTAGGAAAGTGAGGCAGATGGGAATGAGATTCCTGAATGAGGTTGGGGCAACCTGGTACAGCCTATCCCAGGTGGAAGCTGTCCTAGGATGAAACCAAGCTCCAGGAGCCCAGGTGAGACAGCACTGAGCATCTCTTCCCTGCTAAAATTCCAGCTTTGCGGCTCTTTTTTAGGGAGCAGCACACCAGCAGTGACCCCTTTTCCAGGCCTTGTCCCACGGGATGGCCTGTGCCAGTTTCCATAGGGATTAGGGGTTGCTCCCCACCACGCGCAGCCCTTTGGCTGTGGGAATTATCCAAAAACACAAATGGGGAAGACTGGGATGGGGATGGGGGTGATGGCCACAGATATTCCAAGAAACTTTCTTCGTGGGATTGGGAGCAGCTGCTGCACAAGGATGTCCTTTCCACCATCATTTTGGATTTGGTCGTGTCGAGTCCAGTCCTCTGGAGGAGGGAGATGAACCTGCCACTGCACCATGATGGGGTTTGGGGTTATTTTGGGAGTGAAATCTTGGCTAGGTGGGCGTGAATCCCATCGGGAGAGGCGCTGGAAGAGATCCCACCTCTTCCAGCCCATCCCACCTCATCCAGCGCATCCCACCGGGGTCTCCTTGGATGGAGTGCAGAGATCTGGGCAGGGGGGCAACCCAAAGGACCTGAATTTCGCAGGGTGGATGGGAGACAGGAATGTGGGCACAGGGCACTGTGGATGTGGATCTGAGCCTCCTCCCAGTGTTACCTGGAACCCACGTGAGCTGAATGTGCCCAAAAAGAGCGTCTCTGGCGCAGGTTTGGGATGAGGCAGACATCCCGCTGGGCCTGGCTGCTTGGGCATGTCCCAGGACCTTGGGAAGGTGAAATCCTGCTCTTGTTTCGGTCCAAGTGTTGATGTCAAGCTGGATGAGCTCCAAGGTGAATGAGTATAAGAGGCACGGATTACTTATATTTGTCTTTTTATGGGTTAGACTTTATTTTAAGACGAGCTGAAGTTGGTGCCTCAAGGGGAAAAGCACTATTTAACGAAATCGAGAAATAAAAAGGCCACACAGTTCCAAACTATTCCCTCTCCTTTCCCAGCTCAGCTGCAGGGGCTGTTTAGTTTTGGTTTTAAGGAAGGGCTTTGTTCCTCAGAAAACTCTTCCTCTTTGAACCAAATCCGAATCCAGCTGTGCTTGGAGTCCTCCGGCTCTCTGGGCTCCAGCTGCTCCAGAGATGTTATTTTAATTTGCTTTTGATGAATATTTTAGTGCTGCCAATAGCCCTGGAGACTTTGAACTCATGTGTCAGCCCAGAGCTCACCTGTTTGCCGGGAGCCTTTGTACAGAGGAAAAAAAACACATCAAAGGAGAAGAAAGAGTGAACGTCACTGGTGAGAAGCAATTTGGGGAGAGCAAAGATCTTTATGACCCAAAAATCCTCGTTGGAGTGTCAAAATTGGGAGGCAACGAGGCAGGAAGGTGGCACAAGGGGTACCATCTTCTCAGCAGGGTCGCAGCAGTGCTGCTGCACTTTGTTGTCAGGTCTCCATGGCGCGCCTCAGGAATCCACAGTGACTCGGTGGGAGCCAAGTCATAATGGGATGTGATGTGTGACCTCAGAGCAGAGCCTCGGTGGCTTGGGGTCACCAGCACAGATGATCCAGGGACCCAGAATACGGAGGAAGGTGCCCTGGAGGCTCCCTCAATGGGACCGTGCGGTGAGGGGGGAAAGGAGGATCTCCATCAGGGATCAGTTGAAGACCTCAAGCAAGGTGAGATCCCAGCCTGGAGACTCCCAGGGAGGTGGAATGAGGAATGTCCAGCCAGGTGGACAAGGCAACAATAACCTGGGTCCACTGAGGAACTTGCAGAAAGGGATGTGGTGGCCTGGAAACCCTGGTAAACCAAGGCACTTGTAGGAAAAGGAGACAAGGAAATGGGACCTTCCTTGGGTGGTCCTGGCACCTTCTGAAAGTGAAGATGGTGCCAAAGGGACTGCGGCTATTTAGGCTGAGAGCGAAGTATCTGTGCTGGGTGTAGCTGCAAGAAGTCTGGCACAAGAAAAAGAGGCATCTGAGGCTGTGCTGCAGGAAAAGTTTATTTAGGGAAAAGAATGAGTAGACAGGAGCAGTGAGTGGAAGGGATCCAATGCCGGGTTCAAGTAGGGCGACCATCAGCCGAGGTGCTTTGCTTGCAGGAGCTGTGGCCAGAGGCCAGAGGTGGTGGTGTCAGGGGTGGTGCTGAGAGTCCTCAGCAGATGTAGCCACCCCTCCTGCCATAGCAGCCCAGGCCTCCCAGCCCGTAGCCAAAGCCACGGCCGTAGCCAAGGCCGTAGCCAAAGCCACCAAATCCACCAGAGATGGGCTGTCCCTGGGCACTGAGCTCACTGCCCAGAGCAGCCGAGGAGGTGGATCCGACGGCGGTGTTCTGGGGGAAGGAGGTCATGATGGGTCCTGGCAGGGTGACCAGCACAGGGGAAGGGT